GTCTGCAGCAGCCAGCAGCGAACTCAACAGCGCGCTTGAAGCAAGCACCGTGGTCAGCGACGCAGAGAAGGTGGGCTGCGCGGACATAGGCAGCAGCAGGCGGCGAACTCAACGGCATGATGGAAGCAAGCACCGTGTTCAGCGACGCGAAGGAGGTGATCTGCGCCATATTAGCCGCGCTCATCTTCAAAGGATTAGAGACTACCGTAAATGTGGCGGCAGTCGACCCTGAGGCGGCGGCGGCTATAATAAGGTTCATGAGAACCGAAAAAAAGAAAAAAAAAACTGTATCTAAAAACCTAAGCTCTTGATACCATGTGAAATAATGGGAAAGGGGTACTCCAATAGGAGTCCTGACAGATATATTTATAATAGAAGAGTTGCCAAAATACAAAGTATTCCTAAACAGATATTAGGCAGATTCCTAAATATCTATTAGGTAGATTCCTAATTATATTAGCCTATTAGATAATTGACAATACAAGCAAAAAAATAATCCTTGAACTAGATATAGGGAAACCACTTTTAACAATGCATCTGATATTGAACATTCAAAGATTATGTGGTGTATAACTAGTAAACCAACTAGCACGCTCACTAGAGGAAGAACTAACCACTAAACATAACCTGAAAACATTCATGCAATCTTAAAACACTAAATAAGAGGAAAAATGGAAAACATACCTTAATGAGGTACACTAAGACCTCATGAGTCCATAAGTGGACAAAGTTTACGACTTTATTACTACCTCTGCTTTCGGATTGAAGTTGGCAGCCGGAATCGTATACAAAGATCTTAAGAAAGAAAGTTATTTTTAATATTTTATGATAAAAGACTTATATTAAGATAAAAGTAACAAACAAGTCAATATATGACATTTTGACCGGTCGCAAACCCTAGAAATAAACAAGGGAAAAGTGTCAAATAAGTCCCCTACTATTACGCAAATGTCAACTAAGCCCACCAACTCAAATATCACCCAATTAAGCATGTAATCTTGTAAAAAACGTTCAAATCTGCATTTTAATATAATTATAGGTAATCAACCAGTCATCAAGTAAACGTTGACACATGGCGACATGTGGTGACAGGTGGCGACGTGTGACACTTATTTTCTTTTCCTTTCTTTTTTCTTTTTCTTTCTTCTTTCCTGGTTTCCTCCTCTCTCTTCCTGTTGACTCCTTTGCCCAACCCTCCCTCCGAGTTACATAGTATTTTCTTTTGCTTTGTTTGGGTCTCTCTGGCATTGATTTAATTACAACCCCAAGCTCCTCCGTTTCTCACTTTACTTTCATTTTGGATTTTGACATGGTCATCCCATCAATGGATACCGAACTACCACAAGAAATAAAGAAAATAAGAACAATAAATAAAATAACAAATTGGTGAGAATTGATGGAGAAGACCGGCACTTCATGAGACGGAACGTTGGTAAGAAAGGATGACAATGTTTAGTGAAGACAACCGGCACTCTCTTTGTCAGAAGTTGGCCGGAGAAGACGACAGACGCTTAGTTCCTAGGCGGATGAACCAATGAACAATGGTGGTGGCGATCAGGAACCGGCATCGCGGTGGTGATTGTAAAATAAGTAAGGTAAGAAAGAAAGGGAAAGAAAGAAAGGCTCAGGTCGCGGGAGGGGGGAAGATAGGGAGTCGGGAGAAGAAAAGAGATTGGGAAAGAAAGGGAGAAAAAAACAAAATAAAGAAAGAAAAGGAAAGGGAAAGAAAAGGAGAAAATGCAAAGATATAATAGAGGGTGTATTTGACACTTTCCTAATAAACAAAGAGATATTCACCCAAGAAAAAGTAATCTAACTCACTAGATAAAAATGGGCAAACATAAGATCCCCTCTCTCTTGATCCCAACTAGCTACCACATAAAATAACATTCAAAAGTCCCAATCAAAGAGTCCAAAAACAAAACAAACATAAATGTGTGAATTTAAATGAAAGCGAGAAACACTAAAAGATGTAGTAATGAAATGATTTCTTGGTCTTCAAGCTCCTAGGCGGGTCTAGGTACCATGACATGCTCCTACTCCGTTGTTTGGATTGTTTTCTTTGACTTTCATCATAGCATGACCATTCCCCATCAACATTGCCTCTGTCTTACGTCGCTTGGATTCTCCCGCCTGAAGTTCAATTGGTTGTCCCACCAAGTCATTCTGCATTGAGGCTTGTTGTAGTGTTCATGTTTGTACTCATCCATCTTAGCCACCTCAAACAACACATCTTGAATCTTTGCTATTAAACAACACATTTATTCCTTCACCTTCTCCGATGACTCCTGCCTCATATGCAAAGGTCAAAACCTGTCTACATGCCCAATAATACCACATGCTAATAAAAAACTAGAGTTTTTTGTCCCCAAAATCAATCCAAAACCAAACTTCATCCCCCCTTTTAATTTTCATTCCCTTTGTGAGTGGCTTTTCAATAACAAACCAAATATGAATTCTCAAACATATCTTACATAAACCATCTAGGTGGTAATCATCAACTTTTTTAAATTTTCCGAAATACTTTCCAACTCTCTATGCCACTTTTAGGGTAAAATATCCATCTGTCATATTATGAACGTGTACTCAAAATTATGCTAAATGTAACTAACAAAACTTTGAGAGGCAAATTCTGAGCTCTTAGTTCATGCATCACTACAAGATTATGTTGAAAACCAAGGATCGTGATCTAAAAAAAGAGCCTCATGTCAGCTTTATGATAAAACATAAGCAAGCACCTTCTTTCTCCAATCTCTCTAATGGATACCCCTTTACTAGTTCATCAAATAGAAGCTAGAACATTCCTAAACAATAAACACTGCGAATTTCACCATTTTTTGGTAATAACGGTACCCACCCCCACACATGACCAAAACGGAGCGCCTCCGCCCCCGTTCCCCGAGCTCAAATGTCTGAACATACTATTCCACCAAAGCTACTTGGTTTGTCGCCATCGCCACTTGCCTGCATGGAGTCACATACCGATTTTGAGTAGAGGTTAAAACTACGATGACCTGGAGCACTCACTTTCCAAAAAACTTTCCCAAACTTGTTGTCAAAAGCTTGCACTCTTGAAATTGTTAATTATTGATGACAACCATCTTCAAACAAAGAACTCCAAGGATAGCAAAAAAAATGTCCAGAATGGCGAAAGAAAACCACTCAAACTCATGCACTAGCCCTGCGAGAAACCCTAGCAGAATATTATCCCAACCCATTCCATTAGGTTGGTTTTGTAATAATTCATCTCCATCATATCTTAGATATTATTAATGTTAAATTTATTTTTCATGTTGGACTATGAATTAGATTTAGGGCAAAAAATGATATAAAGAGAATTATTGGTTACAAAACCGGCCCAGATGATCAAACCGTGGTCATTTGATAGGTGAACACTGAATTGTGGATAGGTGGAAGCAAAGAGCTGAGCCTATTTATTGGATCAATTGTACATACACAAATGTTTACACTTTTAAAATCATTGACAAAAGAAAGAACATGTTTTAGCTTAAAATTACTAAAATATAACTTATAAACAAATAAAAATATTATCATACTCCATGGTCACTAAAGGGAAAAATAATTAAAGGGAGAAATGCATATATAGCCTTTTAAATTAGCATACTTAAAGTTAATAGAACCCATTTATATTTTATTGTAGCAGTTATTATGAGTTTTTTTCCGTATTAATGTTAATTAATTAATTATTTACGGAAATAATGCTGGAAAAAAAGTATTTACCAAAATACTGCTGGCCCTAACCGTGGTCAGGGCAAAGTCGCCCAACGGTTGGGCGACTTATAAGTCGCCAAACGGTTTGGCGACTTATAAGTCACCCAACCGTTGGGCGACTTTGCCCTGAAATATGTTAACAACCGAGCAGCTACTGCCAGCCAGGCACGATCGTGCCTAGAAAGGTAGGCACGATCGTGCCTATGTCCAAAAACAGCATTTCATCAGGTTTTTCGCCCCGGTTCAACCCAGACTCATCTGTTTGCTATAAATAAGGTCTCCCTTCTCCTGTTAAAGTATTACGAACTAGATACAACACATTATAATCACCTACTCTCAACAGCATAAAAAACACCTTATAAACACCGCTAAAAAACTTTCAAATCATAACCGATATAACACAGTTCAATCATCATATATGCCATAACAAATAATCATATAATATTCATACTCGAACACATCAATACAACATAGAATACTTAACAAGAGAAAATACATCAAAACTTGTAAATTGTTCCTACAACATCTACTGCATAAGAAAAACTACAATACAAAAGACAAACTACAAGTTCCCATCATCAGCTTCGTCATGGAGATGTTGCTGCTCATGTCTACGCCTACGGCGTTGTCGTGGTTGAAGAACCACTCTCTCATGTTGCGTCTGGGATGATGAAGCCGCAGCTGCACTAGACGTGGATGCCATCTCCTGAGATGCGGGCATGTGTATAAGATGTCCGTAGTCTACTCGACCCAACACATCTGAGCATAACGAGGCAATGCCTGTCAGAGTCTGTCCATACATGTCCACATCAGGAATATCAGTCACAGTGGCAGTAGCCCGCTGATGTATGCGCTGCAAAGCTCGTGTCTGCAATACGAAACACAATTACAATTACATTGAAATACATACAAGTATTACATAAATAAAATGACTTACTTTACTAATTAGTAATATACTCACTGTAAGATGCAATGCCAATGAGCTAGGCTGATAATGATGAGTAGGGAGTCTGAACGAAGGAGACACAAACAACCGAGTGATGCTGTAGTACCATCCCATGTAATCTCCTGAAACTGATGGCACATATGTGGGTGTCCCAGCCACAGCTAGCTCAGCTTTCCTATCCCACATAGTCACGTATCGGACATGTCTGAGTGCCCAATCCTCTGTATGCTTCCCACGCCTATCCAGCCTATGCAGCTCTACATAAGTGTCGATAGGACGTGGAATGACCTGCTCAAACCGAAACTGTCGCATGACTCTATCAGGCAAATGAAGCTCAACAATGTCAAAACATATCAGCGGCACACGTGCTCGCCATATGTGAGTCTGCTCTCGGCCAGCTGGGGGCAACTCTGCTAACATATCAGGTCTATACGGCATCCATGTGATCTGTTTCGTAAACATACAAAATTAGTATTTATTCTACACCTATTCTAGTTACTGTTATACTACACACACCATACCTGGTCCTCTGACATCCGATCCAATGCATCCCTGTACACACCGAGGCCAGTAGCGGATGACATGCGAGATAAACCAGCATATAGCCACCTAACCATTAATGTTACAATATCAATAATATGGATTTTATTAATGCATTTACATTCAACAAAAAGTAACACAAATACAAATGATTTAAAACATACCGACGGCCTAGAGGGTCCACGCCCCGTACATGATGTGGTCCTAGCAGACGTGGAGGCTCATCAGGCAGTGGCTGTCCATCAATGCCATGATATCCAACTATAATGGGACGGCCAATGTGGATATACTCCCATGACCAAATCTGGAGGAGTAGCAAAAATCCACCCAGCTCTGTGCTCCCTCTCTGGCACCCGCGACACAGCTGCCTGTAGAGATAAGCCAGGGTGGCACTACCCCAGCTAAACTGTGCTGCTACATCAAACCTCTCAAGCAAAGGCAAGTGTAGCACCTGAACCTCATTTCCGCTCTTGTCAGCGAAAATGGAGGCTCCCATCATCATCAATATATACGCCCGAGCATGCTGCTGGATGATCATCTCATCAGCGTCGGGAGGAAGGGCCTGGAAGTGCTCCCTCAACCATGGCATCCTAAGAGATGACCCCTGAAGGTCAGCCCTAAGAACGGGGCGGATGCCTAACAACCTCTCACACTCATCCACCGACTGTCGACAAGCTGTGCCTGTAACAGCTCTCCCATCAACCTCTAACCCGGTAAGTACAGCCACATCTCCCAAAGTCACAGTGACCTCACCAACAGGGAGGTGAAATGAATGTGTCTCCTGCCTCCAACGCTCAAGTAGAGCAGTGAGGAGGGCTCTATCTAAAGGCACAGTAGCCACTAACCTGTGCAGTGTAAAAAAACCTGCTGCATGAACATAGGCTAGGACTCTGGGGTCGACATGTAAATGGGACAAACCACGCAGATGCTCGCGGCACCTATCAACCTGCACATCCATGCCAAGCCAAACATCCTCACTCCTGTGTGAGGCCTGCAGTGTCAGGACAGAAGGATCACTCGGCCCAGGATCCGCTATCACCTCCATACCTACAAACAAAATTTGTATCAGTTCTAATTGTATTAGTTGTAATTGTATAATGTATTAAATTTTTTTTAACTTCCTTTTTTGAATTTATTAATTTTCCTTGCAAGGAAATAATGAATTATGATTGACTCTAAATATACACATACCCGGCGGACCCCCCCTCTTGTCTAGATGATCTCTTTGCACATGTCGCTCTATTATGGCCGGTTTGGTGGCATCTTCCACATCTTACCGTTCCTCGTGGACCATCATCCATCTCATTCTTAATACGGGTCGACTTTGGTCTTCCCTTTGCCCGAAGCATGGATGGATCGTGCACGATTTCGGGTCCATTGTAATTGGGCCAATAATCACGATCAGGAATCGGTTTGAACACCCTATGATACGTGGCGGCGTATTGGTCAGAAGAGAAGAACTTATCCACAAATGGAGCATAAGACAAACTACGTTGTCTACACACGGCTAATACATGGGAGCAAGGAATCTTGTATATCTCCATCTTTTTGCAAGTGCACGTTTTCCGTTGTAGATGGACAGTTTGTTTTCTCCCACCCTTTCCCAACGTTCGGCCACCACAACCGGTCTCCACCTGAAATATACCTCGCCCTAAATCAAATGGAGTGACAATGTGATGCTTTGCCTTCTCTCTATTTTTTTCAATTAAATCTCGTCTGCATCATCATCACTTCCCTGCCCATCCACAAATGACGCACCGTTGTGCAAATACCTGCCATCCTCCTGTATAACCATGTCTAGTACAGGAACCTTTGACGACTTCCCTGCATTCACCCCTGCACTGACATCATGCCTAGATACACCAGCATTTGATGTCGATTGAGTAGCATTAGCGTCAAAGCATTCCTCAATGTATACCTCCAGCGACGACATATCCTCCATCTGAATTATGCCTCACATATTTGTTATAGCTAGCTCATCAATGAGCGGCATAAGCATGTACTTTCCCCCGTTCATGGGAAATTTCATTTTCAACCGCAATGAACGGCCGGGATGAATCATTGTCGCTGCATGTATTTTTTGAAGGATCTCGAGCATGCAAGCGCCACGAGAAACCATGACAAAGCTCGTTCTGCCACCTTCATGGCATATTTGCCCACCATTCTCATAATAGTTCCCTCCCCAATGACACACGAGTGGGAAGCTTGAGAAATCCATATTCTAATAACAACTCATTGTCCAACATTCATGAGTAGGCATCAATATACACACTTTATACACATTCACATTTTTAATAGAAATTGCTTCCAAAATTGTAATATATCATTAACTCCAAATTCACAAACAATTCACATTTCAATAACAAACTACCCAAATTTTGATATCTACATTCAATGTCTACCTTTGAATACCCAAATTTAGGTACATTCAACTCTACCCAAATGCCCAAATGTCAAAATACACACAACATTTTACAATTAATTTAAAATCAAATGTCAACATTTCATACATATCCACATTTCACAACAACTTCATTCACAATCAATTCATAATCCCAAAATTCAAAAATTTAACATTCTAAACCCTAGGTGCAAAATTAGATGAAATGGATTTGAATTTACCTAGAATAAGGAGTAAAGATTGTGTTGAAGATGAAGATGGAGGTTTTCCGGAGTGGGGAGGCTGGAGATGGAGCTTCGCCGGAGTTGGATAGGAGCTCGGTCGTCTTCTTCCTTCGTCTGCCGTAGGTGCTGCGCTAGAGGGAATTTGGGGCTGCAGTTGCGAAGTGTTCTGTTTGGGGGAGGACCCCGTTTTTACTTAAAGGGAAAGTCGCCCAACGGTTGGGCGACTTATAAGTCGCCAAACCGTTTGGCGACTTATAAGTCGCCCAACCGTTGGGCGACTTACCCCTACCATGGTTAACCCAGCAGTATTTTGGTAAATACTTTTAACCCAACCCTATTTTCGTAATTAATTAATTAATTAACATTAATTAGGAAAAAAACTCAGTTATTATGCACAATCACTATATTGTAGAGTTGATCACATTCATGATCACTAAATCAATAAGTATAAAAAGCCATATATCAATCCACTAACTAGTCATGATATACTCGTATATTTTTCATTATTTCAGACTATAATGCCCAAATGGTACACATTTGGACGGTAAATACAAAGGCACTTTGTTGGTCGCGGTGACAATGAATGCTAACCGTGAAATCTTTCCTCTAGCTTCTGGGGTGGTTGATAGTGAAAACGGGGACAGTTGGACGTGGTTTTTACAGTTAGTTGCGACAAATATTATTCGTCCGTGTCGGAATGTTTGCATAATATCTGTCTGACATGCCGCTATTGATTGTGCTTTCCGAAATGTGCCACAACTGGGAACACCTCTAATTCAGAGGCGATATTGTCTTTGACACATTCGAAGTAATTTTATGTCCCAATTTGAAGCAAGAATCTAAAAAAATTGTGTTGGCGTGCCGGATGTACCCCCATTCTAAATGAATTCACTAACTACATGCAACAAATTCGGGGTGCTAATGAAAGAGCATTCAACTATCTTGATGTCATTCCTAAAGAGAAGTGGGCATTTTGTTTTGATGGTGGGTGTTGATTGCATTGATTTTTGAGTGTTTATATTTTTACTTTTAATAACTTTTTATGGTGTGTTGTTGTGGTAATTGCACATTTACGGTGCAATCATTTTATTTTTCTAGTTTGTTGTAATTTAGTAAATTTAGAATCATCTTGAGCAAGAATCAATCAAGAATCAACAAAGGATCATGGAAGGGATCTTACAAGATCAGAGGAAAGTGCAAGCTAAGGGAACAAGAAATCATGCAAGAAATGTGATTTGGTGACTTACCCGGTCGGGTATAGCCTTTACCCGGTCGGGTATGAAGTGACCCGGACAAAAAGACGTGCAGAAAACACAAAATCGTGGGCAAAATATTTGATTTTGACAAATACCCGGTCGGGTATCTCAAATACCCGGTCGGGTATCCGGTGCAGCACCTTCAAAACACCTATAAATAGCCCCATTTTCCTTCACTTTTAATCATCCCTTCTTCCATACTCTTAAGCTCAGTTTAGAATAGTATTTCTTTTATATTTTTATAGCATGTTTAGTCTCCAAATGAGGAGCTAAACTCTTCCATCTTGGTTTTGCTACTTTGAAGCTTAATGAATTTGTAAGTTGTGAGTTATTATCTTTAATCTTCTTCCTTGAATATTAATTCTTCTTTTAAATACTATTTCTATATCAATGTTGAGGAGTGTTACTAAGATGACAATTAGTTCGTTAACATCTTGACATTAGTTATAGTAATAGTTATTTCTTCCTCTACGTTAATATCGGGGAGTGTTACTAAGATGACAATTAGTTAACATCTTGATATTGACTATAGTAAGATTCATCTTCTTTAATATTCTTTCTTGAGTATTAATTAATTCCTATTCATATTTCATATTAATATTTTGAACATTACTTAAAGGATCAACTAGTTTTGTTTCATATATTAATTAATACTAGAATCGCTCGATTAATACGCTTGTTATTAATTCGGTCCTTTCATGGTAGTAAACTTGGATTACTAATGCATGCATCTCATGGTTAATAATCTAAGGGGAATTAATTATATTGATTAAACCAATAAACCGCTTGTGTTGAGGTTATCAATCTCAATCGTTTTCATCTTAAGTTTATTGCTACTATCAAGTTAATATACGGCGCTTGTTCTATATTGACTCGATAGTAAGTTTTATTAATGAACGCTTCTCGTTATTAATAACTACCCTCAATGAACTGGATATACTCCTCGATTGAGTATTCGAGAGGAAGATAGTTAAAGATATAACCGGGATCGACGAACATTTCATTAAGTGGATAAAAGCAAAGCCAAGTCTTCTTCTTATTTATTAAACCACATAACTCGTTCATCTTCGTGTTCAATTTTAATTAAATCATTCAATCAAAACCCCCCTTTATTTATTAGTTACATAAAAAGAGAATTATTCCTTTCCCTGTGGATACGAACCTTACTTCGCTATACTACGTATTAGTGTCGTATTGTATTATTATTTTGAGTGCACCTCACGACAAGTGCACGTCAAATTTGGCGCCGTTGCCGGGGAAAGGCAATTATTTTTCTTTTTATTTTATCTCATAAAAATCAAAAACAAAAAAAAAATCAAAAAAAAAATCTTACTCTTCTATTTTCTGAGCTTACATGAGTTATGAGTATATGGATGCCAACATATCATCCTTAGAGAGTCAAATTTCCTTCTTGACTTCTCTAATAAAGGGATTTATCTTAAACTCGGAAGCTCAAGATGCTAAGACATGCAACATTTGCATGTCTCACAGACATTTTACGGACTTCTGCCCAAAGCTCCAAGATGAATACCTTGAACAAATTGATGATGTTGGTTACGAAAGGGATGCACCTCACATGAGGTATGATCCGTTCTCCAACTCTAACATGTCTACAGAGGATATGGTCCGGGCTATTGCTACCAACATGACCACCATGCAAAACAACATGGTGCAATTCCAAAATGAGACCAAGTCTAGCATTTCAAACTTGGAAACTCAAATGATTCAAATAGCCGGAGCCGTAAGTAGGCTTGAAGCAAGGGATTCAGAAAAACTTTCCTCTCAAATAGAATGTGATCCTAAACAGCAAACTTTTGCAATCACATTGACAAATGAGAAGGAAATGCAAAAGGAGATCCAAAATCCAGAAGAAGTAGAAGAAGAAAGAGACGCGGAGCTCCAGCTAGTCAAAGAAGAGGATGAACCGAGTTTCAAGGTCAAATATCTATTCTTGTCATCCTTTGAGGTACCCCCAACAATTCTAAAAACTTTGAGGGAAACTCATAAAATTGACAAGGATAATGACATTTTTGAAATCTTCAGCAAGATTGAGGGATCAAAACATTTTCCGTTAACCATGTTTAACGATAATTTCTTTCCCTCACTCCCACCACATGAATCAATGAAAATCTGGATATTTGATCCTGGAAAGATTTTCAAAGTGAAGAGTCAAGAAATTATGCATTCCTATGGAAGTCCTAGGAGTGAAAGTGTGAAGAATATAAACTATCACGATCCAAGTTTGAATGACTGAACACAATGATAGCGTCGTGCCACGACGTTAAATAAAGCGCTTCTTGGGAGGCAACCCATGCAAGGTACATTTACTTATTGCATTTTATTTTTGCACTTTAAAAAAAATCACCCCATTCGTCTTTTCCAAATTCGAACCCAATTCAATTACCCCAAACCTCCTAACCATATCCCTCTTTCTTCAAAATCTATCCAAATCCTCCACCAAACCCCACAAAAAAAAAATCATAATCTTGTTCTCATCACTATCCTCTTGCTCCACATACCCTCTAATCCACAAACACTTGGAAGCAACCACCCCTCTCCCAATCCACAACTTTATATCTTCAAAAAAAGTGATGGCGATAACGAGCACTAGGGACAGTGCTCCGAGCTAAGTGAGGGGGAGTCACTCATTGGTACACAATTATTTTTTTCTACCTTGTAACTTGCATTATTTTCTTCACAAAAAAAAATTAAATAAAAAAATAGAAGAAATGCTAGTTAGGTTGAAAACCCAAACGGGCAACCTAAGCAACATTAGCAAAAAAAAAAAAGAGTGAGTAAAAAAAATGAGAGGCTAGGATGAAAACCTGAAAAAGGCTCCTAGGCAAAAGGAGAGAAATGAGAGAAGAAATTAGTTTTGCAGGAGTTCATTTTCACCAAAGCAAGCGGCTGGAGCGAGAAGCAATAACTTTCTATAGTGCGGATGAATTTAAACTGAAAAAGAAAACACTTCTGTTTTTTTTTATCTCGTTGACTCTCTTTGGATGGTGAAGAACTTTATGGATTTTACTCGAGGACAAGTAAAAGACTAAGTGTGGGGGAGTTGATTGCATTGATTTTTGAGTGTTTATATTTTTACTTTTAGTAACTTTTTATGGTGTGTTGTTGTGGTAATTGCACATTTACGGTGCAATCATTTTATTTTTCTAGTTTGTTGTAATTTAGTAAATTTAGAATCATCTTGAGCAAGAATCAATCAAGAATCAACAAAGGATCATGGAAGGGATCTTACAAGATCAGAGGAAAGTGCAAGGGAACAAGAAATCATGCAAGAAATGTGATTTGGTGACTTACCCGGTCGGGTATAGCCTTTACCCGGTCGGGTATGAAGTGACCCGGACAAAAAGACGTGCAGAAAACACAAAATCGTGGGCAAAATATTTGATTTTGACAAATACCCGGTCGGGTATCTCAAATACCCGGCCGGGTATCCGGTGCAGCACCTTCAAAACACCTATAAATAGCCCCATTTTCCTTCACTTTTAATCATCCCTTCTTCCATACTCTTAAGCTCAGTTTAGAATAGTATTTCTTTTATATTTTTATAGCATGTTTAGTCTCCAAATGAGGAGCTAAACTCTTCCATCTTGGTTTTGCTACTTTGAAGCTTAATGAATTTGTAAGTTGTGAGTTATTATCTTTAATCTTCTTCCTTGAATATTAATTCTTCTTTTAAATACTATTTCTATATCAATGTTGAGGAGTGTTACTAAGATGACAATTAGTTCGTTAACATCTTGACATTAGTTATAGTAATAGTTATTTCTTCCTCTACGTTAATATCGGGGAGTGTTACTAAGATGACAATTAGTTAACATCTTGATATTGACTATAGTAAGATTCATCTTCTTTAATATTCTTTCTTGAGTATTAATTAATTCCTATTCATATTTCATATTAATATTTTGAACATTACTTAAAGGATCAACTAGTTTTGTTTCATATATTAATTAATACTAGAATCGCTCGATTAATACGCTTGTTATTAATTCGGTCCTTTCATGGTAGTAAACTTGGATTATTAATGCATGCATCTCATGGTTAATAATCTAAGGGGAATTAATTATATTGATTAAACCAATAAACCGCTTGTGTTGAGGTTATCAATCTCAATCGTTTTCATCTTAAGTTTATTGCTACTATCAAGTTAATATACGGCGCTTGTTCTATATTGACTCGATAGTAAGTTTTATTAATGAACGCTTCTCGTTATTAATAACTACCCTCAATGAACTGGATATACTTCTCGATTGAGTATTCGAGAGGAAGATAGTTAAAGATATAACCGGGATCGACGAACATTTCATTAAGTGGATAAAAGCAAAGCCAAGTCTTCTTCTTATTTATTAAACCACATAACTCGTTCATCTTCGTGTTCAATTTTAATTAAATCATTCAATCAAAAACCCCCTTTATTTATTAGTTACATAAAAAGAGAATTATTCCTTTCCCTGTGGATACGAACCTTACTTCGCTATACTACGTATTAGTGTCGTATTGTATTATTATTTTGAGTGCACCTCACGACAAGTGCACGTCAGGTGTCGTTATGAAATTTTAACGACCAATCTATCTTAAAGTTTTAACCATGCCCTAAAAGGGCGTAGAACGCTTCCAATTACAGCACTTGTGAGGGCTACTTTCGATAAATCTGTCAAGCTCTTTGAAGAACGACGGAATGCTGGTATGATGTGGAATCAAAGTGGATATCAATTTCTGGAAAAAATCTGGAAGCAGATTATGGATCGATGGCAACAAAGGCATCACATTGTTGTAATCCCGCACAATTATCATAGTGGAGTTTTCTCTGTAGCCATAGAAAATGCAACTACGATTACGGTAGACCTTTCAAGGAGCGACTGTGATTGCGGCTGCTGGAGGATGAATTGGATGCCATGCAGCCGCGTGCATGTTGTGTGTCACTTCCTCAACCGCCCTGTCGATCAGCTTATTCCGGAGGTATATAAACTGAACTCTTACATTAATGCACATGCGGGTGATATGCCTTTACCAAATATGAATGAGTGGCCGAATATTGGGATTCATCTTTTACCGCTGAAATATTTATTACGAACTTCTCGAGTGGGGCGTCGTCAACATACAAGATTTCAAAATGAGATGGATATGCGTCCAAGCAGAAGAAGAGGACACCAATGATTCCATGTACTTTTAATATTTTAGCGTTTTTAGTAATTTATTATGAAAGAATTGTACTTTTTAAGTTTTTAAGAACAAGTTGTTTCTTATCATTTCAATAAATATTTCAATTCGGGATATATAAATTTTCATTTCAGTAGATAGTACTGTGTAATTGTTTTTGAAATATTGGATGAGATAAATAAAGCATTGTACTGTTTAAAAATGTAAATACAGGAACATATTAATCGACAGGGCCGGTCCTGTCCAGTTTTGGGCCTATGGGCGATATAATATTTTGACCTTATTTCCAAGACAAACAATAAATTATACTTACTTAAAGTAAAAATTACGAAGTATAATAAAACTAGGACAAATTACTCTAAATATGACTAAAAACGTTTGCATATTCCAAGCTAAGATTATCATGTTTATATTCTTTAAATAGAAGTAATTAATGTCATATTTTGACAGTATCATATTTTACACATGGTAGTATTTTTCGAACATGACAGTAATTACTCATATTCAGAAAATAATTACAGTCCTCTTTTGAAATTCTCGAAAAACAATTACTCCTATTTTAAGAATTCTCCCTACAACTGTCTAATAAGGGTTAAAAAAAATATAGATGAAATTCACCTTCATATAAGTTGAATTGCATATTTGGACAAAAATAACAACACAAATAGCACAAAGAACATTGCGAAGTAAAATCGTCAATAATTTCTTTATAATCAATCTTTTCCAAGATCACGTGCAATGTTTAAAATTGCTAATCCATTAATGTTTTTGAGGCATAATAGATAATTGGGATGATGTTTGAGAATTGGGAGGCACCGGCAGCCCAAAGACAATAATATAAATTGGTAATTTTGTAATTAAAAGAATAAAAAATCTTAAAGGCTAAAAAGATGTGAAGAGGCGTGCTTTAATTGATTCAACAACAAATGTGTTGACTTACAACCAACTCTATTTAAAAATCAAAAGTAAATTTATATTCTTTTTAAAAACTTGTCTAGCTCCGTTCAAGACTTTTTACTTATGTTTTAAGATTCTCAAATTGTCAACAAAAATTACACATTAGGCCTAATTAATTAATTGAACTATAAATAAAAAAGAAGCATGCTCAGATTACATAAAAAGAAAAAATTTGGGCCTAATTTTCTTTCTATTTTTTTCGGGCCTAGGGCGGTCGCCCCTGCTGCCCTCCCCCTAGGACCGGCACTGTTAACCGAATCTGTTCAAACCTTTTTTTAATCGAAAATTGTTGAACATAGTCACCGAATACGTTCCTTGATTTCTTTTTTTATTATTAAATAAAAATTGTTGAACATATTCGCCAAATACGTTCCCTTATTTCTTTTTTTTAATAAAAAATGCTGAACATATTCGCCAAATATCTTCATCTTTTAAAATGGTTTGCAGATCAGATCAGAATCTACACCTTTTGGAATTGTCAGCAGGGAATCTAGATAAGCCCTAATGATAAACTAGAAGATAGAAAAGTAAATTTAACTCAAATTTGGAAATTCAAGACATTGACTCCAAAACATGAGACAGATATTGTTCTTTCAACCGGTCCTTAGATTTGTTAGACATGATATACAAGTTATATGTATTTGGTTAAAAACAAAGCTTAAATATGAGCAAAGCTTGAATAGTCGCTCATGCATTGAGAGGTGTAGCTCGTTCTATGTCAGATCGGTCTCGAGTTTTTCATACTCATTTGGATTTTGGATCGTATTATAAGCATTTTGGCAAGTGATATACTATGTATTAAATACAAGATCAGTTTATGATCAAACAAAAATAAGAATCGTTCATGCACAACAGAAGACCGTTGATGTTTTTAATTGATGATTGGAATTTTCTCGCTAGTTTGATCTAGATTGGTCTTAACTAGTCCGGTCTCTGTGCACGGTGTATTTAACAAATGTTGGAGTCTGATCTTGTTCGATCTGTTTAAGTCTGGTTTGGGGCTGCAAATAATCCAAGCAAAAACATCCTACATATACTTTTGATTGGCCAAATCATCAAATTGGTAAAAAGGACCGTTTACCAGATTGGTAAAAAACACTCCGGTGACATATTGGTAAAAAGGTGAAGCTCTGGTGACAAATTGGTAAATAAAAAACTCCATCGACAAATTAGTTAAATAATTTTTTTGAGTGAGAAATTTTTACTCTTCTACTTTAGAATTCCTCACATATTGTCCCCTAAATATTTTGAAATTTACATTTTTAGTCCTTGTATTGTAATTATTCTTGTTTTCATAAGTAGAGGATAAAAAATGTCAATGAAGATGTTTGACAATCAACGGTTGGTTGTTAACTGATAGCCGATTGAATCAACATATATATATTTATACTAGCTAGCAAGTTCGGTTTGCTATTTTAAACAACCACTTTCACTGCCATTTTGAAGTAAAATGTTAAGTAACTTAGTTGTTTACGATTAGCTATTAAGACATCAAATGATTAATCATATTAATTTAAAAGAATATATATTTAACTTAACTTATATTTATCCTATTTCTTTCTCGTATTAATATTTAAAATGAAACTAGTTTACTAGGATTTGAAATGACTGTGATTCATTTTTCTATTTTATCACTATGATTTTTTTAGATTTTATATGGAGTCGTAATTTAAAAAAAAATGTAAAATAGCTATAGTAAAATACTAAAGCAAAAAAAAATGAATTTATATGTGTGCTCACATAAATGTACATATGTTAAAAATGATAGTGATAATAATTATATAACATAAAAGTAAATATGATTTTAAAATTCTCCAAAGCTTTTTAAAAATAAAAGAAAGTTAAGTTAAATATATATACTTTTATGCTTTATATCTTTTATATGATCATTTTACGTCTTAATCGTTAATTGTAAGCGATTAAGTTACACATATTATTTTACTTCAAACTGTTAACGAAAACGATTTAGAATAACTAACCAAATTTGCTGATTCAATCGATATCAGCTAACAGTCAACCGCTTATTGTCAAAATCATTGTTCACATTTTTAGTCATTCACTTATTATGATAAAATCGATCATAAAAAGAACCAGAAGTATCAATTTTACAATACTTAAGTGACTAAATGCAGAAAATTCTAAAATTGATAAAAGTGTCGCACTAACAAAAATTGACCAATTTGTCGTGGAAGTTTTTTTATTTACCAATTTATTGCGGGAGATCATTTTTCTACCAATATGTGGTTGGAGTGTTCTTTTTTTACCAATTTGGTAAATTGTCCTCATTTTCTTTTACCAATTTGATAATTTCGCCATTTTTAATTAATTAGATTAACAAATAAAAATCAGTCTTTCATCATTCATCTAAAAATGAAAGGATAGTGTAAATAAATCTAAAAATGAAAGGGTGGTGTAAACAAAATCTAAAAATGAAAGGGTGAGATTAGATTTTGGAGTAAAAAACGACAGCAAGGTAATAGAAGCAATCAAGCAAATTAAAGTTGCTATCTCAATAAGAATACTTGGCCCACTTTTGTGATAGACAAATGTTATTTACTACACAGAAATGGTCAACGACAAGCACAACCACGAAATTCTGAGAGTGGCGATCCGAAAGATACTGGGAACGAGGGGCAGTTTAGCTAGTTTAATTTCCACCTTCTCCACTTCACTACTTTGCTTTATATATTTAAATATGATAAATATATGAATATAATACGATTTTGATATCAAAACAAAGATATGCTTTCAGGGAGGGGAGGAATAATTTGATCTTATTATTATTGATTTTAATTTAATTATAAATTAATAAAAGTTCTTGCTTGTATGAAAATGGGTATACCTAGTTGCGTCATGGTGATGGGGCTGCTATGGCTGTTGGGTGCGAGCACAGTGGCGGCGGGAGGTGGCAACGGCGGCAAAAGCGTGACGTACGATCAACGGTCGTTAATCATCGGCGGGAGCAGAGATATCTTCTTCTCCGGCTCGATTCATTACCCTCGCCTGCCGCCGGAAATGTGGCCGGACATCTTAAAAAAAGCTAAGGAGGGTGGTCTGAATGTCATCCAGACATATGTCTTTTGGAACATTCATGAACCTATTCAAGGCCAAGTATGTATATACAATTCCAACACCCCACCAACTAGTTCCCATGGAGTGAACATAAACATTTACGGAGTATATAAAGTTATACTCCGTATTTGCACACTAATTTTATAATAAGACTAGAGCAATTCTATACACATTATTATTGCCCATTGGCGCTAATGTGTATAGGACGGTTTACTTTGTCAAGTTTTGAGAGGAGCATGTCGTGCTCAGATAATAATGCTCATAAACTTGATCATAATAGTGATAATAAACTTTAAACAATAATTTTAATTATTATATTTGTATTAAATATATACCTTCAAATATTTAATTCTAACAAGCAACATTACCATATAGTCCGTAGTTTTTATTTTAAATGATTTCATATTAAAAAAACACAAATTGACTATCAAAAGTCAAAATGACCGAATTTCATATAAAAGTAAAATGTTTGATAATGGTGCAATTGTGATATGATGATGATATGAAATTGGACGCATGCAGTTCAACTTTGAAGGCAACTATGACGTGGTGAAATTCATTAAGATGATTGGTGACATGGGCATGTACGTAACCCTCAGGATAGGACCATACCTCGAGGCCGAATGGAACATGGGGTACGTACCCATATATGCACATTACATGCATGCAACTATGTACTCCCTCCGTCCCTAATAACTTTGCCAAGTTTGACCGGCACGTTGATTAATAAAGTAAAAACTGTGTGGTTGAGGTTTGTGCAGAGGAGAGAGAGTTAATTGGAACCACAAATTCTTTACTTAAATGGGAAAGTGGCAAAGTTAATGGGACATCCAAAAAAGGAAAGTTGGCAAAGTTATAAGGGACGGAGGGAGTATATATATTTTGTACGTAGTATAATCACTACCAGAGAACATGCATTTTATGTCTTATTTTAATCCTTTCACATCGGTTTTGTAAGTGATGTGTAAGTGAGAGACGTTATGTATAATTATTTCACACAAACACTCGATCTCTAGAATACTGTATTTCAAATAAAAAAGTGTCATGTTACGTATGAAATGCTATGTTTCATTTTTCTCCGGGTGATAAAAAGTTCACACCCACACTTCTAGATTGTAGTACATAAGTTCTGAGTTTAAAAATACTTTACTTCAAAATTAAATATTACGCAAAATAGGTTTGTTTGATATGAACATTTTGTGCATGCATGTTTAATGAAAAAAGTTTTGGGTACACGCTATTTTACAAGCCGATCAAATAGTCTATGAACAGATAATTTGACAAGTGTTTTGTATAGAAAAATGTTTTTCGCACACAAAAAAATTCCCTGTGTCATAGGGAATTTAGAATATTGCCTTGTGACACATATTTTTTTTGTCTATGTGAAAAACATTTTTCTTTAAAAAACGCCGATCAAATTATATGTACAGAGACAATTTGACCCACATGTGAAATGACATGTAATGGTATATGAGGTGAAAAAAGCAACAATATTAAGGAGTGTTTGCAGTTACTTAAAAAAGGCGCTTTCAGCTTTTGGCTTAAAAAAACTGAAAGTAGTGTTTTCAAATGACTGCTTCTGCTTAAGTTAATCACTTAAAAGCTAAAAGCTGGAAGCAGGTGGAAGGGTGTTTTAAACTACTTTTCACTTTTTCCATTACACAAAAAGCACTTATTTTACCAAACACTATCAACTTTTACTTTTTCAGAATCACTTTTTTTACTATTAAGGGAGTGTTTGGAACTGATTCTGCTTCTGCTTCTTTTTTAAAGTAGAAACAAAATCAGAATCAGTTTCCAGAAGCTGGTCCCTCCAACTTCTCAAAAAACTGATTCTAGGAGTAAATTAGAGCTCCAGAAACACTTCTGCACTTTCACCCAAACACTTCAACTTCTGCTCCTGCTCTTTTAGGGACCAGAAACAATTTTAAAAATCAGATCCAAACACCCCCTAAGTATTTTCTCCAAAATCACTTTAAAAAATCATTTTTTTAAAGTAGAAGCAATCGCAAACACTCCCTTTTAGTCCTATAAATAAAGTTGAGTACAAGAGTAATAATCAAGGCCGTGTGTAGAGATAGCCTAATGATGAATTGATGATGATACATGGAGTAATGAATGCAAAAAAATCCATATTAAAGCATGAAAAATTCTTAGTGTATATGAGTTGTACACAAAATATACATAAAATCCTCCTAATTGCATGTGTACACATGCAATTTGTTTAAAATGAAGTATGATTTGATACCAAAATCCTCCTAATTGCATGTGTAGATAGACAATGTACACATTTTATGTACACCAAGAATGATCCATTAAAACATAACACCATCTCTTCAAATAGATGATGTGTTATTGGTACACATTTTTTTTGTATTTACAAGATAAATATATAGTCAAAATAAAATATGTGAATAGTGTAAAAAAATCTAATGTTTGATCATTATTATTATTAAGGCTTAAATACGTTTTTAGTCCCTGCAAATATGACACAAATTGTTTTAAGTCCCTGCAAAATATTTTTCTTGTTTTTCATCCATGCAATATACAATATTTTGTTTTTAGTCCGTATATGATTCTGAAACTACTCTACTTTAAAAAAATATTGTCAGTTACATAAATCTACTAGAAATATTGAAATTCTCCCCTTTTATAATTTTTTTGAGGCTAATATAAGAGTTAAAACGGTGTAAAACTAAGTAAAACCAAGCATTCCAGCCTAGCTGGTTGTGAGGTTACCGTGTCTAGTGAGAGATCTTGAGTTCGAAACCCGCTAGGCACATAAGAGTTTGAAATTCAATAGAGTGAGTTTCAGCCCTGTTAACCCCACGGGCCAATGTACTCATAATACATAGTTTAGGTAGAACAACTCTATTAATATAACATTAAGTAGAATTTCCTTCAACAAAACAAAACTTCTTTTAGCAACTTCTTTCCATCATTTGCAACGGAGCCAAAGATTCATTATTTTTTGGCTTGAGAATATGATGGAATAAAGCAAAATGGCTCACTAAACTGTCTGCGCTTCTTTGTTATGAAGCAGCAGTCAGTCCATGCAATTTTGGACGCGATTTTCACTACAGGTCATCCGGAAATAGTCTCTCTATGCTTTAGTACAGGGGTAATACTACGTACATCCGACCCCCCTTACCCCACTATAGGTGGGAGCCTTTGTGACACTGGGGTAAATGAAAATGAAAACAAAACTTCTTTTATTAGTCCTATATTTATAAACTTTGTCTATTTCTTACTCTTATTTAAGCAATTTCATTAGAAACAATATAATCTTCTTTAACGTACTACATATTGAAATGGTGGGTGCAGAGGATTCCCATACTGGTTGCGAGAGGTACCCAACATCACATTCCGTTCGTACAATGAGCCATACATGGTAAGTATACATGAGTAACTTTTACACTATATATGTAACTCTTTGGACTTGTTTTTCCTCAAGCTCTTAATACATGTATGCTGGTATTGTTCTGGATGCAGTTTCACATGAAGAAGTACTCGGAGATGGTAGTAAACATGATGAAAAAGGAAAATTTATTTGCACCCCAAGGAGGCCCCATCATTTTGGCCCAGATTGAAAATGAGTACAGCAATGTGCAAGCTGCATATAGGGAACAAGGGAAAAAGTATATTAACTGGGCAGCAGATATGGCTGTTGGTCTCTACAATGAAATTCCCTGGATCATGTGCAAACAAAAGGAAGCCCCCCCTGCTGTGGTATGCATGTATATATTACTCCTTTGCCCTACCTTCCTACCCCACACACATTTAAACACGTAGTAGTTTTTTCATAAAGTAAGGCTTATTTCCTATTAAAGAAATTTTAATGGTTTAATATTTACGGAGTACCACTATATTAGTAGTAAATAGGAATGCACAAGTCGAGTAGTATGCAAGTAGCTTGCAAGCTATATGGTGTCAATTAGTGTGATTAAGAGTAAATTCTTATATAGGATTACTAGTCATCCCTTGTGCACAAATAGGAGTGAAAACGGATGTATTGTTTTGTAGGAGCAATAACCATTTGCTTTTCCAATTGTAACCTAAAAAAGACATGCATCTGATGGAGGTTTTAGGGAATGGCAGTTATCGTGAGAAGATGTATGAAAAAAGACAGTTTTGTAGTTTTATAAATAGGATCAAGATGGTCCTATTGTGAAAAAAACATAAAAGGTTCTCTTTATGCATTTTCCCTATGTTGTAGTCCTATACGGGACAATCTCTATAGGATTAAACTTCACTCGAATGTCCAAATTCGAGTCGAGTTTGATTTACTTGAAACAATTTATGAGTCAGAGTGGGTATGCTCACTCTGTGCCTAAATTAAAATTTCACTTTTCTTTCCTAATTACCCATATGGAAAACACATCATATATTACTCATAGTCTCCACCACATCTTGAATAGTCATATTTGGAAGGGTAACACGCTAACACATAAGTTGTACGAGTACTATTTTAAAACTTAATTATGAAGTCAAACTAGAAATTTAATCAGCGCAGGTGGATAATGAAGTGCATATATAATGTTCTAGTTTTTTCAAGTACATGATGAAGGTAACTTTTGTCAAGGCTTGCACGCAGTTCAAGTACAAAATTATGTACTTGTTTGCTGTAGTTCAAGTGCATCCCTAATACAAAATAACCAAATCTAATTAGCCATATTTATATTAATTCTTTAGTAATTTCTCATAGAGATATGATATAAAAACAGATCAACACTTGCAATGGAAGACACTGCGCAGATACATTCCAAGGCCCAAATGGTCCAAACAAGCCTTCTTTGTGGACAGAAAACTGGACAGCTCAATACAGAACGTTTGGAGACCCTCCCTCCCAAAGAGCAGCCGAAGATATCGCCTTTTCTGTCGCTCGCTTCTTCGCCAAGAATGGAACTTACGTTAACTACTACATGGTACATGCATGCATGATTCTTCTGAAATATTGTTGAAATCTAACTTCTTAATAAAAATATGACTAAAGTACTATGTCTAGCTATAACTTCATGGCCACTTAAGTCTAAAATTGAATATAAACATAGGCATAGTCACTAAAAGTTATTAACATAGTACATGACTTCTTATAAGATATCATATTTTTATCCATAGTACAGAGTATATTTTAGTCATACATATGTCATTTTTTCTCAATTTGCTTAGCAACATATATATGCAGTACTATGGTGGGACGAACTTCGGACGAACAGCTTCTTCGTTTGTTTCAACTCGCTACTACGACGAAGGTCCTCTAGACGAATACGGTTTGTTTAGGGAGCCAAAGTGGAGTCACCTAAGAGACGTTCATAGAGCATTGAGGTTGGCAAAGAAGGCTTTGCTTTGGGGAACTCAGTCCGTACAAAAGGTGAGCACTGATTTGGAGATCACAGTTTACGAGAACACAAACCTCAAAGTGTGTGTGGCGTTCTTGACCAATAACCACACCACAAAGCCAAACAACATCAACTTCAGGGGGAAAGACTATTTCCTTCCTGAGAAGTCTGTTAGCATTCTTCCAGACTGCAAGACTGTCGTTTTCAACACTGAGTCTGTCGTTTCGCAACATAATGCAAGAAACTTTCATCCTTCCAAGATCGCAAGTAACCTTAGGTGGGAGATGTACAAAGAAAACATTCCCACAGTGGATAACTTATCACATAAGAGCCAGACACCGCTCGAACTTTATACCCTCACAAAAGACACCACAGATTATGCCTGGTATAGCACGAGGTACACATACTTAATTAATAATGACATTCTAACTTTCAATGTGCATTTATATGTAGGCAAATTCTAAAGGGTATCACACCTTGCCTACGTGGACCAATTAGAATATTGCATTTTAGCAATTTAGATATTAATAAATGATGAGATAATGACTTGGACCAATCAAATATATTATAGGCATGATACCCTAATCTATTTGTTAGGTAACATAACACTCACCTAATATGTATTGTACTTTTTCCTGTTATGCAGTTTGTATAATCTTTACAAAATAATACAATATATTAAGTGGGGTACCCTATTAAGTGACATTCTTTTGTGTCACATGACCGATTCCCCCCCAAATAGTATTAAAACATAACACACTTCAACTCCGTATTATATATAAAGTAAAGCACAATTATTCTTAGTTTGATCCATGTTCTACTCATATCATGAGAAATTCTTTTTTCTCATACAGGAAAAGATTATATCCACCCCCAAATAAGGCTCGTTCAATATAATTAAAAGAAAACATTAAACTAAAGGTTCTTAAATAGAACTAAAACATAGGCATTTGTTCTACTATACATAAGAGTATTATGTTTTTTTCCTAAATAAGAGTAAGACTTACCAAAACCATATGCTCAATCATTTTGTTTGGTTTCGGGATGACATTATTCATCTGATCCAGGGGTATACTATTACTCGTATTTAGATAAAACGCCTATATATTATTTCTATATAGGGTGGTTTTTGAAATTTCAATTTCTTGGACTAAAAAATCATTTTTTGCGAAGAAAACACGATGATCTTATTTGTTAATTTTGCCAAGTTTTTATTCTTATCGATCATGAACAATTACTTTTATTGATCTAGTTCAATGCAAAGCAATTGATCTTATAACTAATGTTTGATTTCATTGATTATTGATCCATGGAAGAATTGAATTCAATCGGCGTGACTTGCCAATGAGGTCCGACATCCTTCCAGTCCTCCAGGTTGCCAGTCTAGGTCATGCTTTGCTTGCATTTGTAAACGGAGAATATGTTGGTACGAGAATAACACTTGTTACATAACTTAAATTATTTGCCTACATATAATTAATTAAATAATTAACCAGTACTACATTGGTTTGTCTAAATTGCACACATGGTTTAGTTAATTGTGAAATGATTATTTAAGAGAACACGAATGTTAAAAATAGTAGCACTCTTCTTATAAATGGCCTCCTTAGTTTATACTTTGTAGTTTTATTATAAGCTATTCCACGTGTCAGCTAGATAAAACATGAACTTATCCTTTAATTTTATTTAATCATTAGGGGAATCAAAGTTTTGAGGTACTATATTTGAAAGTGCTCACTGGTTATATTTCTGATTTTCAATAACGAGTAGTTAATCATTGCTTTGTTTATTATGAATTTTAATATAACCCGTTGTGAATGATTTTGGTAAAAAAAAAAAAAGGATTCAAGCATGGGAATAACATTGAGAAGAGCTTTGTGTTCCGAAAGCCAGTTCAATTGAAGCCTGGAACTAATGACATCACATTCTTGGGCCAGCTTGTTGGATTCCCTGTAAGTATAAATGTATATGAATAAATTTCTGTTCATATATGATATATCTAGCTGTGCTATATATTCAATACACAGACAAAAAGTTTTGTTGCATTTAAATTTTAAACACTAACATTCATATCAGGCTGGTCTAATAGATCATCAAACAATTTCATTTTCTACCGAAAATGAAGTTTATGTTCAAATTATTTATTCATTAGTATCAACTATTAATTTCAACTGCTAGATCTTTATTTTGTTTGAAAGTGACCCTTCAACCTCACCTTTTCAGCTCTAACACTTATCTAACCGTTTATATTAATTTATCATAAAAATCACATCTAAACCTTGAAAGTTTTAAAATTTGAGGAGCTTTTGGAACTAATAGTTGATACCAATGAATAAAAAGAATTAGATTATAAACTTCATTTTCGATCAAAAATGAAGTTGACCTAACGGGAATATAAACGCTAATGTGTGTAGTTAAAGGCCTATAATTTTAAGTAGTATTATTAGTGGGTGCACCCTTGCAACATGTTTTCACTTGGATTTGTTCGAGTCTAAAATGAAACTTAAATAGACCGGAACAAATTTAGATAATTGCCAAATTAGACTAGGAAATTGCAATGATAACAAAAGATAACATACAACATATTAGCCTTATGGATTTGTGATGAACAAAAGAATAGTGGCGCCTACATGGAGAAGAGGTTTGCTGGACCAAGAGCTGTGACCCTCCAGGGTTTGATGTCTGGAACCCTCGATATCACAATGAACAGCTGGGCACACTCGGTACGTACCTAATAATGTTAATTTTAATTCTGCGTAATTGAAAATAATCCAAGCAATAACATTTGATTAATTATAATTATTGTCTATATGGTTGAAATTTAAGGCCGGGATTTCCGGAGAGAAACTGCAAATATACTCAGAAGATGGCGTCGATAAAGTGCGGTGGTCTCCGCTCACTAATGATGCACACGGACCCATGACTTGGTACAAGGTACGGAGGATATTGAGAAGTTCTATTTTGAGCCCTTTTAGTTGCACTAAAGTTCTATATTGAAATGATGAAATTTTCGCTGAAACGGTTGAATTAAGTGAATCTGCTTAGTTGTGAAAATATATTGTCCTACAATTACCATTATTGACTTCACAATTAATCACTCAAACATTATACATAGTATTACTTTACAATGCAAAAATAATTTTGAATATCACATTTTAGTACCGTAGTACTCGTATATACTCCCTACTTTGTATTATCAAAATGCTAATTTGTTTTTTCTCAAAGTAATGCTAATTTGTTTTAAGTTTTATATAAAAAAAGGTTGTCAAATGTACACTTTGCAGACAGTACAAGGAATGGAGTACGTCATACTACCACAGTACCACTAAAACAATGAACAATTAGAATATGTAAAATTTCTACTGCATCATGAAAATTCAAATGATTAGTAAAGTCGTTGGAGCTAAGTAAACATAATTGAGAACTGGAAAATTCAATAAAAAGAACTTAAACATAAATAGTTTTTCTTAAATATGACTATCATTGTATGTGTCTAAAAATTAACTCCTTGACTGTTTTCGCTCATGGTTTGCTCCGATTTGCATAATGATTTTTATATACCAATGTGTACCCTCATAAACCCATACATTTTAGTACACTTTAGTGTACAACTATGTTGCACGGAAACGTAAAAATCCGCGGAAATGGGAAACAGGAAACAGTAAACATTATCTTTTAGTAGAAAAACAACTATTTGGAGAGTTTCCGTAGAGTTTCCGAAACGGAAATGTACTTTTTCCCGAAAATTTCCGTGCTTCATAGGTGTACAGAAAAAAGTGGAGATAGATACAAAATTTAGCTAGTTACATGCCACGCCTATGCATATGCAGACATACTTTGATGCTCCGGAAGGGAAAAAACCTGTAGCTCTCAGATTGAGCAAAATGTCAAAGGGTATGATTTGGATCAACGGCAGAAGCATTGGTCGCTATTGGGTTTCTTTCCTATCCCCTCTCAAACAGCCAACTCAATCGGAGTAAGTAGCCATATTTAAAGCTATTACTTCATAAATATACTTTATTTAGGTAGATGATTGAATCCCTTATTGGGGTCAAATTTAAGAAGTACAAAACACAATGACAATAATTTCTTTTAGTTGATAGATGCGCATTCATTACTAAAAAAGAATTAGTCATATGTATAATACAAAGTACAAACAAAGGAGACTCATATTTATTCACATGCAACATGTTTTAACCGAGTAATTTCTTAAGATCATTGACAATATTAATAACAGATATTCTATTAATGTTACTAAAACATGAACACTTCTTGAACCATGAAAATCAATACTACAGTTTCTCAAATTCATAAAATGTGGAATTAGTTACTGTTTTGTTTAGCATACATAAAAACATGGGCACCCATGTCCAAGAGCCCTATTTGATTTCTTAATTAGATTAACAATGACAAAGTTTCTTAAATAGAATCAAAACATACTACAGATTCTCAAATACAATTATTACATGGCTTTTTAAAAAACAAAAATGTAAATCTTATGATGTAAATCAAACGTGCATAGTTATATATTTATGAACTTAGATAATCTTATCAGAATTAACAACTTAAATATGACAAAAATAAAAAGGATAGATAAAAATAAGACTTGACAATATTAGTAATTTTCAGTCACCATTATTATAATGTACCTTCTATATGTTATATTTGCAGGTATCATGTACCAAGAGCATTTTTGAAGCCAAAGAACAACCTGATGGTGGTGCTGGAGGAGACCGGAGGAGATCCGGAGAGCATAGAGGTGGTGACGGTGAACAGAGATACCATCTGCAGCTACGTGTCCGATCATTTCCCCCCGCACGTCAAGTCGTGGGAACGGAAAGGCGACGAGTTCCGGCAGATCAGCGAAGACGATTTGAAACCTGCTGCCCGGCTCACCTGCCCGGATGACAAGATCATCAAGAAGATCGATTTCGCCAGCTACGGTGACACGCTCGGCGCGTGTGGGAACTTTGCTGTCGGGAACTGCACCGCTCCCAACAGTGTGAAAGTGGTGGAGAAGGCGTGTTTGGGGAAGAACCACTGCCGAGTTCCGGTGGAGAAGAGTTTGTTCGAGGATTCTTCTTCTTCATCGTGTTCTGCCCTTGGTTTCAGGACTCTGGCCATCCAAGCAAGATGCAGCCGCCAGGGTAAGGATAATGAGTAATTACTTGGGCACACTAAATCTAAGCACCGCCAGATCAGATGCTTCTGCTCCTCTTGCTGCTGCTTTTCTTTTTGTTTAGACATTACTGACTTATAAGCAACTTTTTCCATATTTGGTGTACCTAGCTAGTTTTTTTGGTGCGTGGGAAAGAGATTTCCTGTACGTAGATGGTTGAAATAAACGTGTACCAGTCCAAGATACAGTAGTTAGAGAGACACACGATAATTGATTTGGTTGATGTATAAGAAAAAACAGTTCAGTTCAATAAGTCCTTTTGCTTCTCATAGTTCAACAAATGAATGAGCAACTACAACCATTTCAAAATTAAGTAGAAATTCCTCAAGATAGGATTAAGTTTATTTTACTTCTCATATAGTAGGACTTGTAAGAATCGTATCTTGAGAATAAAAAACGATCATCCTCTTTATGAAATTTGTCCTCGTTTTAGTTATATTTAGGAAACTCTACAAAATTAAGCATTACTACTAGACTACTAGTAAGTAAAATTAAGAGAGATTTGCAATTTTAGTCTCAGCTTTCAGTTATGTAGTTGTCATCATTTACAGGTTTGGTCCTATAATTAATCAATATATCCACCATAGGGATGGCCCTGTGCCGGTTCGGGCCTAGGCCCGGCCGGGCCTCGGGTCTGTTTTGTTGGGCCCGAGCCCGAACCGGTGGCCACCGGTTCCGGGCCGGACCGGACCGGGCCGGGCCACCCGTCACCCCCCACCCCCCCAAACCGGTCCTAAACATCAAGCCCAACTCAATAAAGCCCAAAAAAATGAAGGAAAAAAAAACATCAACTCAACCGGCCCGTGACCCGGGCCCGACCCGGCCGGGCCGGTTCACCAAATACAAGGCCCGAGCCCGGACCCGCCCCCCCCCCACCGGGCCCGGGCCTGACCCGGCCGGGCCGGGCCACCAAAACCAACACCCGAGCCCGGACCCGCCACCCCCCACCGGTTCCGGGCCCGTACAGTAACGGGCCGGGCCGGTCCCGGGCCGGGCGGCCCGAACCGGGTCCAAGCCTAAAACGGATGTAAACATCTAAGTACCTATGTTTCACATGCGAACTAATTATTCTATACCCTACTAAACACACTTTTAGATAATTATCTTGCACCTTTCTGAAATGATGGCTTCTTAGTTCTTACATTTCACTTCTCTAGCATTCACCATTCATTCATAGTTCAACAGTCAATAAAATTAGTGAAATACTCCATATCTATACTGCAATCTATATCGGGGCTTTAATATCTTTAAGTACACATTACTATAAGTTCAAAAGAATCAAAACAAAACTAACACCACAAAATAGTGAAATGATCTTATTCGTCTTTGCAACTAACAACATGATGATAGTTAAATGCTCGTCTTTGATCAGGTTTAAAAGTTGATCAAAGCAGAAAGCAGAAAATGACATTCTTACAGCATAATTTTACCATCCATTTCAACTATACTAGAAATTAATCAACAAACAGATTGAACAAATAAATCACATTATGGAGCAAAGAGGAACTGAAGCATTTGCATCTTCATACTCAACGACCTGCTGCATCGGATATGACGGCACATATTGGGCCGGCGGCAAATAATTTCCCCCGTAATTGTTGGCTTCTTGACTATAATTATATCCCGGCAATCCCCTTGTGTCCGTTTGGTATTTCGAAGATGCTAGGCAAATAAAATTTAGAAGCAAATGAATTTTGAATTAAAGATTGTTTCAATCAATTACTATTATTGTATATACGGAGTACTTATTAGATATATGGAAATTGATCAAAACATACTTCAAATGCAAAAAAAGGACGGAGTATGCTGTATTCTCTAAATACGACTTATTCAGTCCTATTAAAAGAACAAGTTAATTTAAAATTATCAAAGTAGAAGTAAATGAGTCATATTTTGAGAATAAAATAATGATAGTTCAATTTATGAACTTTTTCATTGTTTATCCTATTCAGGGAATTTTCTCATAGCTAACTTATTGCTCACAAGTTTAGCTGATGGATGGTATACGATAGTATATGATTTGATAAAAAAAAAATTGCTAAGGAACTAGTTTATAAATATATGATTTGATGTAAACAGGTTATGTTTGAAACAAGATTATAGTATAACTCGAACTGTATGAAAATTGAAAAACATTAGATTATGAAAAGGTAATCTATGAATAAATCTTACTAGTATTTATTTAGTTTGGGCTTTCTAAACAGGTTGGTTCAGTAAAACAAAACTAACTTCAAAAGATTTATTGAAAAAACTCATTATCAAGTTTATGATGTGCTAATCATCGTGTTAATTAATTATACAAAACAGTTGTAAGAAGTTATGACTTTAAATTATGTGTGCATTGTGAAATGTGGAGATTTGTTAATTTAGTCATGCATTTTTTTTGTGTTCAAGTGTCCGTGTAAGAATTTATAACTTTAAATATGTGTCCATTGTGAAAAGTGGAGATTTGTTATTTTAGATTTTTAGTCAAGTATTTTTTGTGTGTCCAAGTGTCCGTTATTTGTCATATAACATAGCCCATTCGTATGGTTCTGTAACTTATAAATTCACCAAAATTAAAGTGCCTTACAAATAATAGAACAGAAAAGTCAACGTCGGCGTTGAACTTTTCACCGGAAATAGTACTGTGGATGATCAATTCATTAGTTACATGAATGGGTAAATTACAAAACTAATAAAGACGTTAAAACTTATGGAACTAAATCTACACTACGGATGTTTTTACTTAGGATGTTTTTACTTGGACTGTAATTTGTCCCAGACCAGACCAGACCAGTCCAGACCAGACCATACCAGACTTGAATAGTTATAAAAATACAAAGAAACCAAACCTTACCAGACCAAACCAGACCAGACCAGTTCAGACCAGACCAGACCAGATCAGACCAGACCAGCAAATTACAGTCCAAGTAAAAACATCCTTAGACTGTTTTCAGTCTCAGACCAGACCAGACTTCTATAGTTATAAAATACACAGAGATCAGACCAGACCACCAAATTTCAGTTCGAGTAAAAACATCCTAAGTATGTAATTAACATTGTAAACATACCTCTAATGTTGGAGTCCCCAATTGCAGTGTAACCATAATTGTTGTAGTTGCCATTGTCATATGACTTATTATAAGGAGAAGAATAAGCATATGATGGTTCATTGTTGGAATATCTGTTCATTCTGGGATCCTTTAAGGTTACCCGGACCAACTCTGCATGTTCTCCTGATTTTGATAGTGCTCTTAACAAAGCGTTTGGTTCCACTTCACCCACCACCGTTGCAAGCCCTTGTTCCGCATCAATGTTCACAGAATATACCCCTTCACATCATCACGTCACCAAACACAACACAATAAAAAAAGTATTACTTTGATGTTGGAACTTTGTGTAATTCCATCAGTTTTTTTACTGTTCAAAAGAGTAAGAGCCCCTTTGATGACACTTCAATTAAATGGCGAAAGTTGGTGACTTTTTTTTGCTGAAAAGTTGACTTAATCATATGTTTACTCTAACTATATTTGTAATAAACTTAAAACAAATGAAATTGCATACTCAATTAGGATGCTCTAGAGTAGAATATACTAATATAGGTGTTTCACTTGAATACCATATATTACAATGCTTTACCCTCTAGGCTCTAAATGCTGGGGTTACTTGTTCCCTGTACGGAGTACCTAAATTGCATCTACCTTTTTAAGATTTGAGGTTCATCTAAAGAAGGTTAACTTGTTTTATATTTTTAGAGGCAACTCATGTGGGATAGCTTTAATACGTTCTTCCGTACATGAGTAATTATAATCTTGTACGGAGTAATTTGTATGCTCATTTTTAGGCTTATCATGATACAATTGCTCATTGGAGCTTAATTTAGAGCCTGTTTGGTATCACGAAAATCGGCTGATTTGGCTGATTATGCTGAAATTTATGAAGTTCTGGCTAAAGTGGCTGCATTGGCTGATTCTGCTGATTTAAGAAAAAAATATTTTTAAAATATATTATAATAATAAAATAAAGAAAAATTATATGTAAAAATAGCTAAAATAGTCATCTACAGTAACTTCAGTCAATATAGTCAGAAAAGTAACTTCAACCTTACTTTTTATGTTTATTACACAATTCAACACGCGAAAGTAAAAGTTACGTGTTTGGTGAAAAATTTGGCTAATAAGTCTGATAAGCCGAAAAACAGTGTTGCCAAATTGCCTCAGGCCTCTTATTCTGGTACATGTTAATATTTTAAGTTTCTAGAAGTTAACGTAACATAAGTAGTTCAAGACTTTATATACATAGTATTAGTTTAGCACACCTAATAGGCTAATACACCTATGACATACCCAAAATACCGGTTGCGGGTTGCCCGCTGATTCCCGGTCACCCCCCCCCCCCCCCCCCCCAAGGCCACAAGTCACAAGTTTTGAAAACTTTTGTACTATCTCTGTCTCTTTTTATGTGTCGTACTTTGGTTTGGCACAACTATTAATAAAGTGATTGAAAATGTAAAAATTGTGGTTGATGTTTGAATATAATAAAGTAAAATTTTGTAGACCACATATTTCTTTCCAAATAAGAAAATGTGACACTTATTTTGGGACAACCCAAAAAGAAAAGTAAGACAGGTAAAATGGGACAGAGGAAGTGTTTCTTTTCATATTCTTTTTCAATGTTTTTATACTTTATGTTCTTCAATTCCATCATTTTCTACCACGCTAGTTCTCTTAATCTCCATGAAATAATTATATTGCTATTTAATCAAGAAAAGGGTGGAGTTTAAATACCAGAAATTGAACTGAGCACTTCCATGAACTTCATTTTACATTCACGACATTGCACGTCTACTTTCAAGACACAACCCTAATACAGTTCTCCAAATTAAAGAGATTAAATGAAAAAATCAAGAAATATAGAATATGAATGATGAAAGACACAAGTGAAATATGGGGGTGTTTGGAACTAAGGTGCTTCTTTTTTAAAGTAGAAGCAGAATCAGAATCAGTTTTCACAAGTTGGTTCCCCAGCTTCTACAAAACTGTTTCGAGGAGTAAATTAGAGCACCATAAGTATTTTTGCGCCTTCACCCCAATACTCTAACTTCTGCTCTTTGAAGCGGCAGAAACAGTTTTAAAATCAGATCCAACCACCCCTATATCTGTAGAGGTTACATACCGCTTCCGCTTTAGGCTCCATTTCAGCACTTTGGACAATTTGAGTCGTTGTCACATGCAAATGAAAGGTGGATAAAAAGTAGTAATCCAGAAATAAAGGCACGGTACGAGTGGGATTTTGAGGATATAATATTTAGATCACTTTACTCGACCCGTATAACATTAGTCTCCATATTTAGATCTATATATTTCATTTATTTACTGATTTGTTTCTTTAAATAGCGGTATTGTACAGCTACAAAGCCACCGATTTCCCTTTAATGGATTGTTTCTTATTTGACCAAAACATCTAATGACAACTCTAGTCAATTTATTTGTAAATTTGATTGAAACTAAATTCAGAATTGCCTATTTGAATCTTTTCATATCATTAGAAAAATAGAAAGCTAATTTGAAGTCATTCGACTATTTCACATACAATAATTTAGGATTTTAACGGACTAAATCTTGAAATCAGTTCTTTATTTGAAAGTTTTTGTTTTTAAAAAAATATTGATTCCGTAATAGTATAAACTAACTACGTTATTATGGTGTGTAAAACACAACTTTGTCGAAACTTTATGTTGGGAACATATTCTATATTTCCACGCATTGACTCATTTTATGACTCATTACTACGAGTGATAATATATTGTTCGTCCAAACGTTTATGGTATATTATTAATGGTTAACACACTTTCTAGCAACCCACTACATCGTACCCATTTATCTGTCTGGCTTATCAGTATTTGCCTCTCCCGTTAGAATTCAAATTGAACTTATTATTGAGCTAGTGATGAGAGTTGTGTGTGGAGTGTATTATTTGAGTGTCCCCTTGAGTCCTAATTAAACCAAAAATCTCATGCTATAAGGACAACCCGTGCACCCTTGTTGTAACGTGGGGAGTGTACAAGAGATAGCTCAGCTAATCTCTTTCTTCCTGACCCCTTTGTGTGAGTAAGGAGTAGAGCATGATGAGGTGAGTCAAATTATCCATCCTTGGTGAGGAGAGAGTGACAGTTGTCGAGGCTAGAAAGGTGTGTTGCTCCCTTATTTTAGGCAAATTATACCGTGGGATCGACCCACCATGAGCATGGTGTGTCAATCCCAATACGGTACCGTTTTACGATTAAAAGAGAGCAAAACGTCATTCTTATTTCCCAGCGAGGTGAGCTCCTTCCGATCTGTTCCATGTTCCCAATCGCTAGCTCCAGATGGTGAGATCTCAGGTCTGCAGCGAGGATTTCAAATTTGCGATTGTCATCTGCCATGATTGGAAGTTGCTGCATGAACGAGGACCTCCTGGAGCTGATTAATGCCCTCTCTCCTGCCGCCATGCCAGAACGGCCACTGGTGGATGTTTTCTTATTCGAAGCATTCATTAATTTTAATTTCCTGTTTGAAGGCCACAAAGAGATAAGAAAGCACAAATAACATTCAATCGTTGTTCTTCTCAACTGTTTACATATACTCCGCATATTATATATTCTAATACATTTAAGGTTAATAATTCTAATACATATAATAATTAATGTTATAATATACTCTGTCTAATCTTATACCATCAATTACATTTGATAATACATGAAGTTACATCTTTTTTTGCGTGAATTACATCTTCTTGTACGTGAGTTACATTTTCTTATGAGCGAGTTACATCTTCTGACACACAAATTACATTTGGAATTACCTCAACAAGTTACATTTTGTTTAAACCTAAGTTACATTTGTCATCAATGTGAGTTACATTTGCAGTGACATGCATTACATAAAAAATCAACCCTTACTTTTTAAACAAAAAAGGTTTTCTTAAATCATTTTTGAATGACCATGATATTAAAAACAAAACATATTCACGATTAACTTGAAGAAATTGTACATTTAGACTCTTTTTTTCATTGTTTACAATGAAGTCAATAATTTTTTATTTATACAAGTACTATGTATTTGAAGAGTTACATTTCGACTGCACTTGAGTTACATTGATTAATAACGTGAGTTACATATCTATACATGCGAATTACATCATTCATGCTACTAGGATAAAAAGAAAGAAAAAATAATTACTGTACACGCGTATACTGTTCACGCAAGTACTATTCATGCGATTTTTTAAAAAAAAAATTGTAGTAAAACTACGTCGTTTTGGGAGTGGGAGCATGGTGCTCACCGTGGGATGATCCCACGGTATAGGAACTGACACACGCAGATTATACCGTGGGATCGGCCCACCGTTCTCACGGTGCTCCGATCCCGAAACGGTGACGTTTCACAATTAAAAAAGACGGCAAAGCATCGTTCCTATTTCAATTTCAGCCTATTTTTTCACCTGCAGCGACGGCTTCAAAGCCAGATCGGCGAGTCAATGCAGCGCACCGTACTCGCTGCTGAGCTTCCATCAAAGATTCAAAGGCAGATGTCGACGGATCCAAAGGCAGGGTTGGTCATCAATGGCGTCCTCCGGTGTGAAGGCTATATTCCCAGTAAATACTGATCTGAGAGATGATGTGGGGGAGGTTGAGCACAATATCTGATGGAGAAGCTTTTATTGGTTTTCTAACCGCCGATTGAACGATGGAGGAGGATTGAAAACCTTCAATATCGCCGCCAGAAATCACCACACAGTCCTGAAGTTATTGGGCAGGTGACGAGGATCTAACTTTGCGTCTAGGCATGCTCTCCATTCACCTGCAAACAAGATTGCGAGGATGGTGTAGCTATACACTCTATGAATGCTATCTACGTATATCTTTGTCCGGGAGTTACATGTGTGTAAAGGCCCATTTACATTCCAATGAGATAAAAGTTACATTCCAAATTAAGGTTGTTTACATCGTTTTATAAAAACTATATTTGAAGTGGTATAACAAGTTGAAGTTGAGAGAGTAAAACAACTTACATATTCCCGCGCATGAGTTACATTAAAAAACACTGGATTTACATTTTACAATAATGCGAGTTACATATCAATAACGCGAATTACATTTGAAAATAAACTCCTGCTGCCCTCCTAATGAAGAAAAAAAGGATTTTTTAAAAATAATTTTCAATGACCTTGACATTAAAAAATAAAACATATACACTATTTATGTAAAACAATTGTGCAATTAGATTTTTTTTATTGTTTACATTGAAATCAATATTTTATTTTTAATATTATGTATTTGACAAGTTACATTTCGAATGGACTTGAGTTACATTGATCAATAACGTGAGTTACATCTCTTTACACACGAGTTACATCACGCTCCTACTGGGACAAGAGAAAGAACAAAAAAATAAGTTACTGTTCACGCGCGCGTGAACAGTAACACGCGAATTTTGCCTTTGGGAGCACCATGCTCACCGTGGGTTGCTCCCACGGTATAACGACTCCTTATTTTAGGTGTGCACAAGAGACAACCGAAAATTTGACGACCGGAATGCCTGAGCCGGAATTTGGTGACCGAATCGATCC